ATATATATATATATATATATATATATATATATATATATATATATATATATATATATATATATATATATATATATATATATATATATATATATATATATATATATATATAGACACACAGACACACACACACACACACACACACACAACACACACACACACACACACACAACACACACACACACACACACACACACACACACACACACACACACACACACACACACACACACACACACACACACGCACATTTGAAGAGCCCCTTCCCTGCCCGCATCCGCACGCAAAAGCCGCACTGCCACAAGCGAGTGCAGTTTTCTCGTCGCCTTTCTGTGCCGCGCTGAACCTGCTCCGCGCTGAGTGGACGGCGGGAGGAACAACGGCCAGGGAACAGCGGCCTGAACTACGCCCTTTGCACGCACTATTGTCAGGGGATCGGGCTGTGTTCTGATGAGTGGCGGAGAATGGGGTTTTCTTGCCCTGTTTGGGTGTGGGAAGGAGAGGTGTTGGGGTGGTTGGGTGTTGGGGGGGGGTGTGTGGTGTGGGCGTGGGTGGGTGTGTGGTGTGTGGGTGTGGGTGTGTGTTGGTGTGTGGTGTGTGTGTGTGTGGGTGTGGGTGTGGGTGTGTGTGTGTGTGGGTGCGGGTGTGGGTGTGGTGTTGTGTGTGCTTTTATATGTGTATGTTTATCTATATCTTTGTTTATGTGCATGTATGAATAAATATTTGCTGAACAGTCCAGCCAGCCGTACCATGTTCAGTAAAACAATAATCACTAAAAAAAAAAAAAAAAAAAAAAAAAAAAAAAAAAAAAAAAAAACACCGATAGAAAAAAACATTAACCCAAAAAATAATAACAAAACCCAAAAATCGGCCTCATTTCAATTACCTCATCACTGTATCTCCATTCCGAAAATAATTGAATTCTGCATTGTATTCACTCAAGATATTTCAGATATAAACCCGAATTCCCGGCAGTTTTAATGAAAATAAAAATTTCAACTCGAAGGTCAAAAGTTCCAATGCAGATTAAACAGAATATTTGACGATGACTCTCGATTTTCACTTTTTTTTTATCATTTTTTAACTTTTTTTTTTTTTTTTTTTTTTTTGGTGGGGAAGGGGGGACTAAAATATTTGGAATTTTGATCAAAGCGCCTCTGCCATTGGCATTAGGTGGTTGTTTGACTTTGTCTGGATTTTGGAAAAAGGGCGAAACAAGCGTTAGGTAAATAATGAAGGTATTATGATAGTGGGCTCTGCTGGCTGAATATTGTTATTAGTATTATCATTTTTCATTATCATCTTTATTGTAATCCTTATTATGTTATCGTTGCCTTTGTTATCATCCCCTTCATTATTTTTATTACTATCATTACTGTTATTATTATCATAATTATCATTATTATTATTATCATTTATCATTTTCTTTGTTGCTATTGCTATCAACATTGTCATTTTTATTATTACTAGCATTATGCTATATGGTCATATTATCATTGTCATAAATTTTATCAATGTTCTCATTATCATCATCCTCATAATCATCATATCATAATTATTATTACAATCAATATTATTTTTGTTATCACTATTATTACTATTAATGTTATGGTAATTATTATCATCACTAATACTATCATTATTATAATAATTATCATTATAATAAATACATTCATTATCCGAACTACTATTATTACTAATACTACTACTATCATTATGATTTCGACATTATCATAAAAATATTGATTATCACACACACACACACACACACACACACACACAACACACACACACACACACACACACACACACAACACACACACACACACACACACACACACACACACACACACACTCCACACACATAACACACACACACACACACACACACACACACACACACACACACACACACACACACACACACACACACACACACACACACACACACACACACAACACACACACACACACACACACACACGGGTTTGGCGCATCTCTTATCTTTTATCTATACCAGTTTCTCGCTGTTTCTTTTCTTATCATTCATCCGCACTCTTATCGTTTCATTAAGATAACAATATCTGGCAGTAGTGGCATTGTCTTTCAGAGATTTTTTTTTTTTGAGTTTCCTTTTTTTCGCAGTCATAGAATAAATAGTTAAATAGATAACTGAAAAGATTATAAAAAAAAGAATGACCTTTTTCCCCTACCCATTCCCAGTCCACCCTTAAAAATAACCCTGATACTTATTTTCCTTCTCTTTACCTGCCCCCCCCCCCATTCCTACACCTTTACCCCTCCTCTCTTTCAACCACTCTTCTCATCACCACCCTTCTCCTTTACCTCCTCCCCCTCCCTCTTACCCCCCCTCCCCTTTCTTGCACCCACACCCCTCCCCTTCACCACCTCTCACCTCCGTTCTTTTTCATCGCCACCCCCTCCCCTCTCCCTACCCCCACCCTCTCCTCTCCCTACCCGCAACTTCTCCTCTCCTACCACCACCCCTCTCCCTAACCCCAAAAGCCATCCCTTTCAACCACACCCTCTCCCTAATCCCTTGGCCCTACCCCTTCCCCCTCTCCCTTACCCCACTCCCGATCCCTTATCCCCCTCCCGTCTCTTTACCCCTACACCCCTCCCCCTTTCCTCTACTCCTCCCCTTTCACCATCACTTACCCGTCCCCCATCTCCCTTATCCCCTTAAACCCTCCCCTCCCCTCACTCCCTTACCCCCCACCCTCTCCCCTCCCCACCCCTCTCCCTTTCCTACTCCCCACTCTCTCCCCCTCCTCTCCGCCCCTCCCTTCTCCCTTAGCCCCTTCTCCCCTCCCCCTCCCCTTCTACCTTACCCCCCCACTCTCCCTACCTCCTTTCACCCCCACATACCCCTCTCACCTTAAAACTACCCCTCCCCCCTCCCCTTACCCCCCTCTCTCCTCCTCCCCCCACCCTCTCCCCCTCTCCCTTATCCCCCTCCTCTTACCCTCACCCTCTCCCATCTCCTTTCACCCCATATACCCCTCCCCTTTCCCTTACCCTTAGACCTACCCCTCTCTCCCTCCCCTTACCCCACACCCTCTCCCTCCTCTTCCTTCCCCCTCTCTTTAACCCTCTAACCTACCCCTCCCCTTACCCTCCCTCTCCCACCCATCCCCCACCACCCCCACCCCCACTCCCCACCCTCCGCGTAACAGGGCACGAAGGCGCCTGAGAGCGGGCCCGAGAGCGGGCGTCGACGGCGATAATGCACGTGTTTGCCGGCCGTCTGCGTGCGCTATCGTGCCCCTCCGTCGGCGCCCGCTTCGTGTTGTCAGCCTCAGCGGGTCTTATCGCGCTGACGCACTTGCTACTCGTGGCTGGGGCGCCGGTGGGATTGTTTCGGGTCGGTGGAGTGGGAGGGGGAAGGGAGGGGGTGGATTGGGGGGTGGGGGATGGGAGGGGGATGGGAGGAGGGGTTTTGGTAACGGGGCGGCGATTAGGGAGAATGGATGGGGAGTGGGGGGGATGTTGGGGGGAGGGGGGAGGGGGGTTATGTGTGTTGGGGTGGGGGAGGGGAGGGGGGGAGTGGGGGGTTATGTGTGTTGGGGAGAAAGGAGGGAGGAGGGGGTGTTTGGGGCGGGGGAAGGCGAGGGGCGTGGGAAGGATTGAGAGGATCTGGGTTTGGGTTTGGAATGGGTTGGAGGTTGGGGTTTGTGAAGGGTTGGGTTAGGTTAGGTTAGCTTGGGTTGAGTTAGGTCAGGTTAGGTTTGGTTAAGGTGGGTTGGGTTGGATTGAGTTTGATTGAGTTGGGTTTCCCCTCATCCTTATGCCTCGTTCCTAACTCTCCCCTCGTTATCCATGACTTACCCTCATTCACCCTTTACCCTAAGTTTGCACTGTCTCTCTTTCTCCCCCCTTTGCTCCTACTCTTTCATTTCTCCATACCCTTTCAGTCCCTTCACTCCCTCTCCTCTCACTCAGCCACTCCATCGCCCAGAATCCTTCCCTAACCCTCTAACCTAACCCTCCCCCCCAATCCCATCCCACACCGCCCTGGACCCCTCCCTCACCACCCAACCCTTCCCCTTAAGCCTTTCCCTAACTCTCTTTAACCCTTTTGACCTGTGCTTGGGTGTTGTCTCACCAATCACCACCCCCAACCCCCTCCTCCTCCCCACCCACCCCAAACCCTTCTCTAACCCTTCCACCTCCCCCAACTCTCTCCCCATCACCCCTCAGCTTTCTCCCCTCCCCTCCTACCAATACCCCCTATACTCTCCCCCCACTACTTACCGCACCTGCGTATTTCGCGTGAAGCCATCGCCTAACCTCAACCCCCTCTCAACCCCACCCAACACCGCCCCCCAACCCCTCTTCCACTCCCCCAAACCTCCCCACCACCAAATCGTACCTGTGTATTTCGCGTGAACTATCGCCCAACCGTCAACCCCTCTCCCACCCCTACCCAACACCCCACCCAACCCCCTAAAACTAACGCGAGAATCCATAGCCCAACCCTCAATCCCTCTCCCACCCCACTCAACACCCACCAAACCCCACCCAACCAACCCTCTCCCTTCCCACCCTCTCCCCCTCCCCCCCCCCCACCACACCACCACCAACCAAACCGTACCTGCGTATTTCGCGTGAATCCATCGCCCAACCTTCAAACCCTCTCCCACCCCCTACCCCCAATCCCTCCCCAACACCCTCCCAACACCTAACCCAACCCCCTCTCCCCCAATCCATACCCCCCCCCACCACCCAACCCCTCCCTTCCCCCACTCTCCCCCCCTCCCCACCCCTCAACCCCACCACCAAACCGTACCTGCGTATTTCGCGTGAATCCATCGCCCAACCTTCAAACCCTCTCCCACCCCCTACCCCCCAATCCTCCCACACCCTCCCCCACACCTAACCAACCCCCCCCCCCCAATCCATCCCAAACCCCTCCCCCCTCCCCAACCCCTCCCCTCCCCCACTCTCCCCCTTCCCCAACCCCAACCACCACCAAACCGTACCTGCGTATTTCGCGTGAATCCATAGCCCAGGAACCGCTCGTCGTGAGTGGGCGTGTCATCCCTGGCCACGTAGAAGGGTTCGTAGAAGAACTCGAAGTTGGTGACCTGGTGGCTGATGGTGACCCCGCCCTCCTTCGGGTGCAGCTGCTCGCGGGGCAGAACCTGCGGAGGAGAGGAAGAGAGAGGGAGTTGATAAAGGTCTGAGAAGGGAGAGAGGGGGGGGGGAGGATGAAGGGCTGTGGAGAGGAGGAGGAGGAGAAGAGAGAGGGGGTTGATAAAGGTCTGAGAAGGGAGAGAGGGGGGGGAGGATGAAGGTCTGTGGAGGAGGAGGAAAAGAGAGAGGAAATTGATAAAGGTCTGAGAAGGGAGAGAGGGGGGGGAGGATGAAGGGGCTGGGAGGAGGAGGAGAAGAGAGAGGAAGTTGATAAAGGTCTGAGAAGGGAGAGAGGGGGGGAGGATGAAGGTCTGTGGAGGAGGAGAAGAGAGGGGGATTGATAAAGGTCTGAGAAGGGAGAGAGGGAGGGGGGGATGAAGGTCTGTGGAGGAGAAGAGAGGGGGATTGATAAAGGTCTGAGAAGGGAGAAAGGGGCAAGAATGAAGGTCTGAGAAGGAAAAAATGAGAAAGGGAATTGATAAAAGACTGAGAAAGGTAAGGGGCAAGGGTAAAGGTCTGAAAAGGGGAAGAGAGGAAAATAGATGTGATAAAGGGAGGACTGGAAGGAGGGAAGGACGTGATAAAGCACAAATAGACACACAAACAAAAAAAGAGGAAAGACTGAAGAATGGGCCCACAGCAAAAAAGGAAAAGAAAAGAGAAAGTAGGAATCGGAGAATAAAAAGTAATACCACGAATAGAAGAAAGAGATAAACGGAGACAAAAAGAAAAAGAAATACCGAGAATAGAAGAAAGAGATAAACGGAGAGAAATACCGAGAATGAGAAAAGGATAAACGGAGAAAAAAGAAAAAAAAAGTAATACCGAGAATAAAAAGGAAGTGATAAACGGAGAAAAAGAAAAAAAAAGTAATACGAGAATAAAAGAAAAAGAAACTGAAGAAAAAGAAAAAGAAAACAAACGAGAATAAAAGAAAAGGATAAACAGAAAAAGAAAAAGAAAACAAATACCGAGAATAAAAGAAAAGGAAAACCAAAGAAAAAGAAAACACAATACCGAAAATAAAAGAAAAGGACAAACTGAGACAAAAAGAAAAAGAAAACACAATACCGATAAACAAAAAGAAAAACGCAGTACCGAGAATAAAAGAAAGTGATAAACAGAGAAGAAGAAAAAAGAAAAAAGAAAAAGAAAATGATAAACTGAGACAAAAAGAAAAACGCAATACCGAGAATAAAAGAAAGTGATAAACGGAGAAGAAAAAAAAAAAAAAAAAAAAAGAAAAAGAAACCATAAACCACACAAGCACACAGCGAGGAACACTTTCGCCCACAACCACAAGGATCCCAGAAAGGACAAGCTCAAAAAAATCTGGGGGAATCGATCACCTTTTGCAACAACCATTGTCACAGAAATGCACTTCTCTTGTGTCGGGGGAGGGAGAGGGAGAGGGAGGGGGAGAGGAGGGGAGGAGAAGGGGGAGTGGAAGGGGAAGAGGGAGGGAGGAGAAGGAGAGGGGAGGAAGGGAGGGGAGGGGGGGGAAAAGGGAGGGGAGAAGGGGGAGGGGAAGGGAGAGGAACGGGGGAGGGGAGGGGACGAGAAAAGGGAAGTAGGGAGGGGAGGGGGAGGGGGAAGAGAAAGGGAGGTAGGAGGGGGGGAGGGGAGGGGAGAGAAAAGGGAAGTAGGAGGGAAGGGGGAAGGGGAGGGGAAGAGGAGGGGAAGAGAAGGAAGGGAGGGGAAGAAGAAGAGGAGGAGAAGGGGTAGAAAGGGGAGGAAGAGGAAGAGAAAGGGGAGGGGAAGAGGGTATAAGACACATGGGGGGGGATGGGGATAACGAGAAATAGGGCAGGGGTAGGGGAGGGGGAAGGGTACAAGTCTCACGGGAGGGAGGAGACGGAGGGAAGGGGGGGGGAAGTGAGGAAGGGGGTACAAGATACGGAACGGGAGGGAAGAAAAGGAGGGAGAAGGAAGTAACAAGAAATAGGAGGAGGAGAAAAATACAAGACACAGGGTGGACATAGGAAGAAATTAGAAAAGGAGGAAGAATTGACAAAAATATACATAACGTATAGTCATAACGTAGAGGGCAGTAAAGCAGAGAGAATAAAAGAAAAATATTGAGAAAGAATGGCAGGACTGAGCGTACTGAGGACGAAGAAAGAATTGGAAAGAAAATGGAGAAATATAGACAGTAGAACTAAAAGGATTTGAGGTATTTGAAACGGAGAAATTATGAGAAGGACAAAGAAAAAGTAAAAAAAAAGACAAAGAGAAGAACAAAAGAATGCGAGGAAGAGGTAGGAATTTTGGAAGAAAGAGAGGAGGAAGAGAATGGCTTAAACCAATGGAGACGCAGAATAAATGTAGGAAGAAGGACAAAAGAAAAATGTAGAGACAATGGAAAGAACTGGACAAAGAGGAAAGGGAAGAATCTGATAAATTGAGATGTAAAATGTCTTTGGAAGAGATGTAAAACTGAGAGAAAGAAAGAAAGAAATGGAAGAAAAAAGGATAACATTACGGTATATATAAAAAAAAAAACTTTATGAAAGTAATCTAAGAATTTTGGATGAAAGGCAGAAAGAAAAAATCGAATAACAGAAACACGAAAATCGTAGAAAAAGGAGGACGTAAGAAGATTTGGATAAATTACAGAAAGTAGAAAATAACAAAGAAACATTAAACAAAAACAGCTCTTATGACATTCCAAAAAGGGGACAATTTTGGAAGAAAAAAAAACAAAGAAAGAATTAACTGAAACTCCGAAAGACGGAAGAAGGAACTTTACGAAAGGATGTAAAAACTTTGAAGAAGAAAGAGAAGAAGAAACGAAAGGAACTGGCCCAAGGTGGACGCAAAGGAGATTTGGAAGAGGTGGAGATCTTGAGAAAAGTTGAGAATAGAAAGATCGGAAACACTCGCGATGTCGAAAGGAGGAAGGAAAGTTTGAGAGAAGAGGGAGAGAGAGAGAGAGAGAGAGAGAGAGAGAGAGAGAGAGAGAGAGAGAGAGAGAGAGAGAGAGAGAGAGAGAGAGAGAGAGAGAGAGAGAGAGAGAGAGAGAGAGAGAGAGGAGGAGGGAGGGAGGGGGGGAGAAAGAGGGAGACAGAGAGAGGGGTGAGGGAAGGAGAGAGAGAGAGAGAGAAAGAGAGACAGAGACAGGGAGAGGGAGAGAGAGAGAGATAGAGGGAGGGAGAGAGAGAGAATGAAAGAGAGAAAGAGAGACCGAGAGGAACAAAAAAAAAGTAGTATCAGGAGAATTATAAGAATCAGAATTCGGAAAAAAAGTAAAAACAAGAAACAGGAAGATTTTGAACGAAATGAGACAGATGAGAGATGCGGAGGACGAAAGTAAACCACAGAAGATAGATAGGAAGAGAAAAAGTAAAAGATCAGGATATTTGGGAGAAGGACTTGACAAGGGAAGTGAGAATCTCGAAGAAAATTAAGAATAGAAAGATTTTAAGCTCTGGCGATGGTGGAGAGAGTTAAGTCGAAAACATTAGAAGGAAAATAATTTTTTTGAAACACGAGCGATGTAGAAAGAAAGTAGAAACGGTTGGAAATATTAAGAACAGATTTTTAACACTGGCGACGTGGGAAGGAAATAGATACATTCATACATACACACACACAAACACACACACACACATGCACGCACGCATGCACATACACGCACATACAAGCACACGCACACACATAGACAGATATATAGAAAGATGGATAGGTAGACATATATAGAAAGATGGATAGATAGACGGATATATAGAAAGATGGATAGATAGACATATATATAGAAAGATGGATAGATAGACAGATATATAGAAAGATAGATAGATAGACAGATATATAGAAAAATAGATATATAGACAGAAAGATGGATAGATAGACAGGTATGAATTGGAAAGACTCGAAGGATCTGAGACAAGAAAGAATCACGGAGAAGGAAACAAAATTTTGGAAAATGTGGAACAAGACGGAGAGACAAAATCTTTAGCGCCGGGGAGAGATCTTGCCAAAGGAAAGAGAAAATTTTAAAGAGAAGAAAGACACATAAAAGAATGAGAGGAAAACATTGGACGGAACTGAGAAAATACGAACAAATTCAGTTTAAAGATTTCACACTTAAAGTTATGAAAGTTGGAAGGAAGAAAGAAAGAAAAAAAAAAAACGTATATTCGCCCAAAACAGCTTTCATAACTGTTACGAATTCCACAGAAGACCAGATAATGACACTAAATCCTTTACCAGTCCCGTGAACATGATATTAGTGATCAATAGATGTTCCGATTCCACATTCCATTGCGACAAATAGAAAAAAATATATATGAATGAGAATGAATATCTCCACAATACAAGAATAAAATTTTAAAAAAATAAAATATATGAAAGAGAATGAATATCCCCATAATACAAGAAGTATATTTGACCGGTTTCGATTATATCTTCGTCGGAAAAACACGCATTTTGACGGAGATACAGATCGGATTTGGTCAAATATATCTCTTGCTCTGTTAAGATATTCCTTCTCATTCATACCTGTTCTAAATTCTGATTCCACATTCTTCCAATAGTAATGATAGCGATCATACTAATAATAATAATAATAATTTTCATTATCATAATGATAAAATTAACATTAATGATAATGATAATAATGATAACTATAATAGTAGTAATAATAATAATGATAGTAATAATAATAATAATAATAATAATAATAATAATAATAATAATAATAATAATAATAATAATAATGCTGATAATGATGATGATAACAACAACAACAAAACAACAGCAATAATAATGATAATGATAATTATGATAATAATAATAATGATAATGAAACTGATGATGATAATGATAATGATAATAATGATAATAAGAACTATCTCTTTTTTTTACTTTATTTCCCACAATACCCAAAATAACAAACAAACAAAAAAAAGTCCCGACCTTGAGATCCCCCAAGACAGCGCAACGTCACGCAATGTCATCAGCGTGAAAAGGGTGTGGTTGTGACACCATCGCCAATCTCCCTGC